ACAACCCAGTGATTCCAGCCATGAAAGCCTTCGACAATTCATAGTATATTTGTTTGTTTGTCCATTTGTACCACAAAGGCAGTTGCCAGGTGAAGTTGTCCTCTGACATGTCACTGGATTGGCTGTTGCCAGGTGAAGTGGCCCCTTGCGGTGTCACTGAGGCCCTTGTACACTGCTATATAAAATCCAGATTATCTGCTTTGAACTGGATTATATGGCAGTGGAGATTTATATATATAATCTATTTCAAAGCAGATAATCTGGGATCTGATCCTGGATTATATGACATTGTAGATATAGCCAAGAAATATTTTGGATTTTTAATTGTTTGGATTTTGCAATACCTTATTTGCAAGTATGTCAGAGATGTGACCAAAGTCTAAAAATGAGATCCATTTATGTTTCATAAACATCTTATATATGTACTTTTGTACAGTATTTTTGATAATCTGAGGCATGAAACAAAGTTTATGTATTGTCGAAGGCTTTCATGGCCGGAATCACTGGGTTGCTGTGAGTTTTCTGGGCTGTATGGCCAAGTTCCAGAAGCATTCTCTCTTGACGTTTTGCCCACATCCATGGCAGGCATTCTCAGAGTTTGTGAGGTCTTCACAACCTCTGAGGATGCCTGCCTCACAACCTCTGAGGACCTCACAACCTCTGAGGACCTCACAACCTCTGAGAATGCCTGCCATAGATGTGGGTGAAATGTCAGGGGAGAATGCTTCTGGAACATGGCCATACAGCCCGAAAAACTCACAACAACCAAAGTTTATGTACATTCATCCACCAGAAAGCAAAAATGTTACTCTTTCAGCCATCCATGTGAATAATTTTTGGATTCTGGAGTATTTTGGATTTTGGTATTCCAGGTACAGGATGTTCAGCCTGTAGTAATAATAACAACTACAGTGTCTTTTTAATATGTTTTAATGTTGTGTTTGGAACAAAATGCAATATGATCTGACATGATTCCATAAGAATGTGAATGTATGATATATTATTGTTATTCTAAACTGGTTATTTTTTTTATGTTTTATACTTATTATCCATGTATATGGATTATTGTTTACATGATTGTAATATGTTGTAAGCTGTTTTGGGTCCCATTATTATTATTATGCAGCTGTGGACAAGCCTACATAGGGATCACCAAACGCAGCGCACAAACACAAATCTTACTGCACACCGCACCTTTAATCCTACGTTCCTCCTGCCATTTCAGCACTTTTAACCCCTGTACCCCATTG